GGAAGTTTAGCGGTGCCTTAGAGCATCCTAACTTCGGCGGCGCCCCTGCTTCTGCCTGACTGGGAAAAGGGAGCAGATGGGGAAAAATGCCATGAAAGTGACCTGTAAAAACAAATTCCCCGCAGCCGGTACGGGAGGGTCCGCAGCCAGGCTCTGCAGCCTTAAGCCTGGAAATACGTGAATATCTCAAATGGCAGGAGCCGGTAGATAGCGTAAAGGCTGATAGAGATTGTTTTATCTGTATTGTAATGCAGTATGTTTGCGGGTTAAATTGCTGCTGAATGGCTTCGAGGGAGGTGGAGGAGGGGTTAATGATTGTTTTTCGCCTCCTAGTTGCCATGAGAGGTCCTTAGAATTCCCTGCAATATTGCAGTGCATAGATAAAAACTTATCGCAGGGGATGCAATTTCCTCCTTGGAAGGAGGCGAGGACTGCCATCCTCCCTTGCGAGTCTCACGGTTTGTGCATAAGCAGACTAAGCAGACTGCTTTGTAGCCCACCTCTGGAGCATCAGGTACGGTCAGGCCACTGAGGATAACACGGGAGTCGAGGGGTTGGATTAGCACTGCGTTGCTTCTCGGCTCCTGCCCTTGACCGAGCAGTTTCGGTGGCACACGTGCACGCCCACCGCCACCACCGCAAGGCAGGCGAGGGTAGGTGAAACCGTATCCCTGCCGTACCGATTTCAGAACATAGGCTCTTTGACAGAAAAGGCACCCTGGGAGGAAATGTGACACCTTCTAAGGCCTTATGAAATGGTTCCAGTAGAAATTTAAGTGAGTGATAACACAGAGCACATGCACAAAGTCACCCACCATTCTTGATGTGCAGGTGAGGGTGGTCCGTGCTTGTTCTGAGAAGCTGGTTTAAATACCAGTTCTGGGAAGCAGAATGGTGCCTCACCTGATATTAATAGGCGAGGCATGATAAATAAGTGAATATCTGGTGTGAAATCCTCTCCCACACACACTGCAAGCAGAATTTTCCCATTGGTTTTAAAGAATTTGGAGTTTTTGCTGTTGACTTCTCCTCTCCTGAATTTTTCTCATCTTTTTTTTTTCTTTTTCTTTTTTTCTGGGTGCTGCAGAGCTGAGCAGTAAAATGAAGGACATAAAAAACATAACAAGTAGAACAAAACAGAAGTAACACCACCAAACAATGTTTGACCTGTTTTTTGGTTTTGTTTGTGAGCCATACGAGGAAATGTGTTGGGATTCGAAGTGGACCTCATCAGGTGTAATCCTGCATGGCCTCTGCTCCAGAGATGGGGCAAACTAGTGGCTGCCATCTACTGAGCACCAGAGATGCAGCTTCGTCAGGAGCGGCTGTATTGGCTTCAGAGGAGATGAATGGCTTGAGGCAGGCGAGAATCTGGTTCTCTGGACCCTCCTCTGGGCATTGTTGCCCTTGCTGTGCAAAATCATCGCCTGTGTCCTCACCTGTGACATTTTCTACTGGGCAGAGAATAGAGCCAGGCTCTGTGGACTGGGGAGACCCAATTTTAAGAGGGGGTTTGCTAGACATCAGCAGTGCCTGAGCTGTGGGTAGATTTTTGCCTAGGGCAGGTGCCTCTGGTTGTCTCCAGTGATTTCCTGGGTGTCTGGTACCTGGCATCCTTCAGAATTGGGTAAAGAGAGGTATTTATACGCATTAATCTTTATTTTCTAAACAGTGATTACCTCTGTTTTGGTTTTGTTCCTCTTTGCTTTGCTCCTTACTTATTCTTGACAACTTTTTTGCAACTCACGGTGTATTTTTAGCAGCCGCATCGGTAGTTGTCTATGTGGGTGGCTTATGGAATTAATCTGGTAATATTTGTAAATTGCACCTCACCACCGGTGCCGCTGCTGGAGCTCAGCGCAGGCAGGGACCTGCCTGCATGCTCTGCTTGTCACACGAGGGGCTGGGAAAGCTTGAAAATCTGACCCTGGACTGGTCGTGGAGCAGGTCCCATTTAATGCCAGGAACAGGCCAGCCCTGCTGGGTTTTGAATGCATCCTCAGATCTCTTAAGGCACATAAAACTTGCTCATTACACACAAAACTTGCTCATCAGGGAGGTGGCCCCAGTGAGGCGGAGTAAAGGTCTTTACCCCAAAGTTCATGCAGGGAGATTATAACTCAAAGGCACTTCCTGTTTATGAAATAATAATCAGAACTTAAGCTGTGTCAATGCTGGGACCAAAAGCCTAAGTTTTTATTTGCTCAGGATATGGCTATAGCTAGGATAACAGGAAGTCCCCTCCAGTTAAAATTATTGTTCTTATCGTGCTGCTGTGTCTAGCGATTAAGTGAGTTTGAGATGTAATGGGTGAAAAATGCTGTTTTATTTTCAGAAGGGGAAAGAGCACTGCTGGGCCCAGGGCCCAGGGTGAGCAGACAAAGAGGCAAACACAGTTACTCGCCATAGTCATCGGCCCTTGGACTTTGTGCATTGTGTTCCTCTTCATGACTGTAACAGGTGGGGAAAACCCAGGTGGCTTCAGCTGGACACGTCAGCGGGCCTAAAAAATGAAGTAATTTTTGTTTTCCCATCACTCAGTTTCACCATTTACTCAGTGGTTGTTATTTACTGCTCAGTTTCACATGGTGCTTTGAAACCACTGGATGCGGTTTCACCCAAACTGGGTATGCACGCACCCTGTTCAGTGTAGGTCTTCAACTGATGAGGGACAGCCCAGAGACCTCCTTGATGCTTGTGAGGCTTTTGAACTTAGGTCAGTCTTGAGAAGTTAGACTGCATATCCGTAGGTAGATATGGGTGGCTAAATGAATAAGGCTCAATTTTGACCACATTACAGCAATGGTGTGTAAAAGTATGTGGATATTTGGTCAGGAAGAAAGTTGGGAAGTCAAATCATGGAAGGATTAGTGACCCGGGCTTGGAGGTAAATCGCTGTCCTGATTGTGGACCTCAGCAAGTGGGTCCCAGGTGATGGTGTTAGAGCAGTGCTGCCAGATGGTGAGGTCAAGAGGAAGTGCAGTCACCTTCTGCTTGGACCAGGCTGAGACACCAGTATGAGGCAGATTAGACAAGTTCTTTCAGCTGTAGGAATTGAGGCAACTGTGATAGCGCTACCTTTGGACTTTGTGAGGAGAGTTTGCAAAGGCATTCAGTGGTGGGCTAACAGCTATTATGATGTCGTCATCTCTGTGTCTGTAGTGGATAGGTAGGCTGAGACTGTTTTGTTTTTGTTTTTGTTTTTTTTTTAAAGTTCCACCCTTTTCCTCTCTGATCCCAATTTAAGAAGATATTTTAAGGTCTGTGCCTAAATTTAAGCTCACATTCAGTGCTGGTGACTTCATTAGGATTGTTTATGTCTTTAAAGCTGGCCACACGCTGAAGTACCTTTCTGACTCATGGCCTCTATAGCTTAATCAGTCCATTTATAAAAATGAGGTTGTTTCCTCACCCTTACTAGGAAATCTCTACCCTCTAAATGTGAGAGGGCTTTTTCTTGCTTTTAGAAGGATAACTGGTGGATAACAAGAAGTGAGAATTAAACGCGATTTAGAGAAAAGGTTGTTTCTCCAGCTGTTTACATACCCTAATACAGACCTAGGTGTTTAACGGGAGGCCTTCTCTTTTTAAACTATTCCCCCTTGCAGTACAGAGTTCAGCTTTTGTTTTAAAAATAAACCCAGGTGATAATTTCAGTTCAGATAGGACATTTAGCAACTTTTCTGTTTGTCGTGCTGGAAGAGTAGAGGCATGTTAATGCTTCCCCCCCTATTAACAGCACAGAGCACACCTGAGTCCTCCCTCACTTGGCCATGTCAGCAACTGAGGTCCATCCTCAGGAAAGCACAAGTGCATGTATTTTGGGACCACTCCTGAATTCAGGTAGCCTTCTGAGTTGGGTAATTTTGATAGTAAAACCAGTTCTTCTCAGACCTGGCCACGTACGTGAGGGAAGGAGCAGCCTCTATCTCCGTAGGCTGGCAAAGGCATCACCATATTTCAAAATACCTTCCAGAGTCCAGATTCAGGACTAAAACAGTTAAAAAGCCGTAACATTAGGATTTATTTATTGAATGGAAGTAACAATAAGCTGTAATAGTGCATGTTTATACAATGTTGTGTATGTTCAAGGTGCTATATAAAGAGTGGCTGTCTGATCAAGCTGCTGACAGAATGATGCCAAGGAACAGTCTTCTGCTTATTTACAGGATGTGTACAGAATAGCCAGTGGGAGGCAAACAATCTCAAGATGTGAACCCCTTGAGCTGCTCCTGGGCTCGATTCTGATATAGGTCAGCAACAGCCACAGTCACTGAAACCTGCAGAGCTACGCAAGGAGAAGCACCGTCTCCCCATGGCCAGCTTTAGCCTGTCTGTGTTGTGTTCTGGAGGGAGAGGGAGTTTCATGCTGAGTGAAGGATGGCATAGTTTGCTCCCTTGGTTTTCTTCAGCATTACCCCTCAATGGGGCGTTTGGTTGGAGAAGCTGAAGCTCACTCTATTTACGTGTTCTCTGTCCTGCTCACCTTCCAGGGCCTGTGCTGACATCTGTCTCTGGAGGGATGAAGTAAGAGCAGTCACAGACAGCTCCTACCCTGAAAAGTGGGAAAGGTCAGTCCTCAAGGCAGTGGTATTTACCAGAGATACTTGGGAAACTCTGAAGGCAGCTGTCTTCCCCGTTCATTATGACTTTTAATCCTTAAAGGTATTAGCAAGAACTGGAACAATGGTGTTACACAGCAGTACCCTGCAGACTGACATCTCTTTCTGTTCTAGAGACTGACAGGTTTATCTTGGTCTGTGGGTTATGCTGAAATGCCAGAGAAACTTACCTCTCACCAATATCATTGAAATTGTAGGAAGTGGGCATAGGAAAGATTTCAAAAAGTGTTTCAAAGCAGGATATTAAATGCCCATCCAGCATGTTCCCTAACAGGCTTGTCCAGCATATTTCCCATGTATGGGGTGCACAACCTGCCCAGGCTGTCATCACTGCCCTTTGCTTTGTCACTGAAAAGATTTTACCTCCTCATTAACTGCTCTGCTTTGCTTGCTCTGATTCCTTGTCCTTTTAACAGTGGGTGTGGGAAAACTATTCCTTTGTCTTTGTCATGTCTGTCCTTGACTTTGTGTTCCTTCGGCTGAATCATATCTCAAACACATTCTTCAGCTCTTTCTCCTGTGTCCTGTTCCCTTCAGCTCTGACCATCCTCCCGTTTCTCTGTGCTCCCTTCAGCTAGTCCACCTCTCCTTTCAATGGCATTGCTAGAGCACAGTGCTGTATGTTGGATCCTGTGTTGACCAAGTAGAGCAGAAGCATTCCTTCCATCTCCTACAGGCAGTGCTCCTGTTTGGTTTAACTTTTGCACCATGACATTGTTCATCTGTGTGCAGCTTGTGATGTGCCGTGGCTACGAGATCCTGTCCAAGAGGTCTGATGCCTCATGAGCCGTTTTCTATTCTCTGTTTATGGAGCTAGGCTTTCCTACCTAAGTGTATGATTTTCGTATCTGTCCCATTTGAATTTCATCCTGTACCCTTCAATTTGTCAGGATTGTTTTGAATTCTTATTTTGCAATCCTGCTTGCTGTCACCTGCCAATTTAAAAAGCACAATCTCTGTTTCTTCACCAAGATCAGCTTTGTTTTCCACTCTTGTCTCAAATAGAAAACACAGAAGAGATTGTTTCATAAAAAATAGAAACAGAACCTTGCCCACAAATATAAAAGAAACTGGAAAACACAAAACACTTTGCATTGTTTTACACCTCCTATTCTTTTACTCTCGTGCTTTTGAAGTATTCCTAATAACAGTTGTATTTGCTGTAGTGGTGCCAGTGCCAAACAAAAACAGGAGCTTACTGCACAAGGCATGGTATTGACATGAAGGGGCAGATAGTTCCCACCCCAAAGGGTTTGCATTTCCTGCAGTGAAGACCCGGGAGCATGGATCGTAGGAATTGGCTGAGCTCTTTGGGGAGAGGAAATCACAATGTGTGGGTTTTCCTGAACATTTCTGACAGGGGTTCCTTCAGGGAAGGGAAGGGTGGGCTGAAGATTGAGGTGGAGTAAGGCAGTAGGTTAGGAACAAGAGAGAAGAGGATGAGAGAGAGAGGTGGAAAAGAAAGGTGAGAGTAAGTGACTGTAACAGGAGAGAGAAGTGATCCCTGAGAAGTACGGGGGCTGGGGCTGTCACAGCCAAATCTGGCAGGAACAGAAAATTGAGTGAAATGCTGAAGATCCCATCTTGGACTGTTTTTGCAACTGCCCTTACTGACTTCAGTCTCTCCCAGGTTTTTTCTCGGCAGTTGTTTATAACGTCTTTGGACAGGAAAGTGAGCAAGGACAGGAAATGCCACCTATATCTTAATACAGGCAAAACAGAGTGTCTGCCTGGGGATTCCCCCCGTCTGGAGCTGAGACTAGAGGCAAAACTGATGCTGTGGCATTCCCTTAAGATCTCTGATCCTGCTCACCACACTCAAGAAATTCTGATGGGACAGAGGTTATCTGAAACACCAGCACTTTCCATTGATCTGAGATCCTTGTGGTTTCCTCCCTCGCCGCCATTGCCCTTCCCATGACGGCGGTGTCTATGCCGGATGAATCTGATCTGCCATCCTCCCTTCTCCTCCCCATCAGGAGGTGCATACTGAATTTTCCCTTAGCCTACACATGATGCCTTTAAGGGCATGTGTGACTGCCCCACCCTCTCCATCGTCCTGTCTGCTCTACTCTCACCATCAGTCCAGGTGACCAAAACAGGTACGAGCATGGAGGCACAGTCATCAACACCTGTGCTTATGGGTGAGAACCACATGTGCATCATCCTGCACACGGATGTGCATGGCCCAAAGGCTGGGCATGTTTCAAGCATGAGGCTCAACATACTATTCTCTCTAGTAGCAGGTTGGGTATGTCAGTATGTTTGGCAGTGAGTCTGTAAGATTTTGGTTTTTCTCTTGGGTGAAGAGAGCAAGAAAAGCTCCTTTTTTCTTATAGTTTGGAGTCAGGGTGTTTATTTGCTACTGGATGTGATCCAGTAGATTCAGTGTGTCTCTGCACAGAGAGGAAACAGCAGAGAGGAAACAGTCTAGGAGGTTCCTGGAATGTGTGGAAGATAACTTCCTGACACAGCTGGTGAGTGAGCCAGCAAAGGAACGCGCCCTGCTGGACCTGTTTTATGTGAACAGAGAAGGACTTGTGGGTGATGTGGTGGTCGGAGGCTGTTTTGGGTACAGTGATTGGTTTTCAGTTTTTGGAGAAGTAAGGAGGGGGCTCAGCAGAATGGCTGCCTTGGACTTCCGTAGGGTAGACACTGGCCTGTTTAGGAGGCTGGTCAACAGAGTCCATTGGGACACGGTCCTGAGGGGCAAAAGAGTCCAGGAATGGTGGACATTCTCCAAGAAACAAATCTTAAAGGCATAGGAGCACTACAAGAAAGACACTGAGATGCCAGTGCGTGTCCAAAGAAGGGCGATGGAGCTGCTGAAGAATGTAATGCACAGGTCTTATGAAGAGCAACTGAGGGAGCTGAGGTTGTTTAGCTCGGAGAATAGGAGGCTTAGGAGAGACCTCACACTCTCTATAACTACCTAAAAGGAGGTTGTAGTGGGATGGAGGTTGACCTCTTTTCACAGGTAACAAGCAATAGGACAAAAGGAAATGGCCTCAGGTTGCATCAGGAAAGGTGTAGATTGGATATTATGAAAAATTTCCTAATGGAAGATATTGTCAAGCACTGAAACAGGGTGCCTAGGGAAGTGGTGGAGTCACCATGGACATGTTTAAAAGATGTATAGTTGTGGTGCTTAGGGGCATGGTTGGTTGTGCACTTGGCAGTGTTTGGTTAGTGGTTGGACTCATTGATCTTAGAGGTCATTTTCAACCTAAGTGATTCTATGGTTCTATTTATTTTTGCTTGAAGACATGAGGTTTTTTCCTAGTTACAGATCGTAAAGGCATACAGGATGGTGGATAGCCAGCAAGCTCCCTACCTAATAGCTGCCTTGGTGGGGTGCTACACTTCTGAAGGGAATGTTGCAGCAGATGATGGAGTGCTTTGATGGAGACTTGGACTCTAGCAGCAAGACTCAGAGAACATCCAGTCTCAGAAAACTTGCAGAACGTTTCAAAGAAAGTTTGTTTTTTTCAGGAAGGTCCTTTTAGCTTTCCCAGAATATTTTTACTTGTAGGCAAAATTTGTAAGCATTCTTTATTTTTAAAACAGGGTTTATATTCTGCTTTTGTCTGCAACGACTCCAGCACTGTTGATGTATTTATCTTTTCCCTGTTAACACTTGCTGTTCCTGGAACGTCTCCTGCTTAGCAGCTGTTTGTAGGTGCGGTTTTTTTTCTCTCCCATCATCATGTACCTTTCCTTCCTGTTCAAGGCATCCATAAACCTCTTGTAGTGACATCATAGCTGTTCCCATAGCAACAGATTATGATACTAGAACAGAGGATAATATCAAACAGGAGGAGGAAGAGATAAATTATGGTGTTTGTGTGCGTGTGTCTGAGGGCTTGATTATATTCCTACATCTCTTCCGAGGATGTTGTCTGCCTAGCTTCTCCTCTGTTTATCTTATGTGCCTTTTAAAGGTTAAGAAAATGTGAAGGAAAAAAAAAGATCTGGAGGTCAGAACAATACAGACACATATTTTTGTGGGTCTCTGTGTAAACCTAGTAGGCTGAGATTTGGTGTTTTATCTCTGATAGCTCTTCTATGTCTCTTGAGAGTAGTCTGGAGAAAACTTGGAGGCACAACAATCCTGTGGTACAGCTTCACTTTTATTTTAATTACAGATTATTTATAGCCCCTAGCAGCTGGTATCCCAAGTCAAAGATCTCTGTGCTGCAGATTTTTCAGATGATGGACAAATGTGGCATGGTGTTGCCCCAGAGAACGCGCAACCTGTATTTGAGAAAGGTTGCAACAAGTGCTCAAATCAGCCAGAGGTGGTGGCATGGGGAGAAGAGGGAGAAGTACCCAGAAGAAGGATGGATATTGGAGGGACTGTTGTCTCTAGACTGCTCCAGCCTGCCTAGAGAGGGTCATGGAGGAGGCGGTCTGAGCCTCATCCTAGTGTTAGCTTTTCACAGTGGTGTTTCTGGAAGAACTGTGTCAGTAGTGGGCCAGGGGCCTGGTTTGTGACCATCTGCATGGTTCTTCCATGGCTTCAGGCTGTCCCTCTGACAGGAGCTGACAGCAGCAGGATTGCAGAAGGGCGAGTGTCCATATTGCTCCATACTTACATTGGTAGGAAGGCTATCTGTTTGCTTAAAGTAATAGGCTGAAGGTGAAGAATGTCCAGTTAAAATGCATGGGGTTTTATTTTCTCCTAGGCAGCACTTAGTGTTGGCAAATTCCAAATAGTTTGGTGAGGATTTTCAGCAAGTCTCTGTTTTGCCTCCAAACGGTGGTAATTTCTGGCCATCATTACTACTTTCCTATTTAGATGTTTGACTTCAGAAGCTGGAGAAAAAATTCCGAGAAAACCCTATTGGATATCCTCATAGTGGATATCCAATAGTGTGTGTGGAACCTTTAATCTTCCTCTTGTGACAGAATTTCTAGGGAGTTAAATAACTAGTCTTTAAAATACCCAG